CAACAATAGTTTCTCCATCATACTTAAAACAATAATTAGTGTTTCTGTTGTTTCCACCTTTCTTGAAAATCATAATTTTTGTTTTAGCAATATTAACTTTAAGTTTCCATTTATCACAATAAGTCTTAAAATTATCCAAAGATTTTTGTAAGCCCTCTTCAGTTTCTGAAAAAATCACTGCATCATCTGCAAAAAGTAATAAATAAATTGAAAGTTGATCTAGAGAAATACAGGCATTTGGATCTTGTTGTAAATGTAGTTCAACATCGTTTATAAAAAGAGAAAAGAGCAGAGGAGACATTATCTCCCCTTGCAATAATCCTATATCACAATTGTACACATCGGATAACTGATTCAAATGTTTAACACACAATTTAACATCATTATAAAGTGACCGTACAACATTAAATAATCTACCACTAATCCCCATTTTAATAAGTTTAACCCAAAGGCCAATCCTGTATATTGAATCAAAACACTTTTGAAGATCAATAAAACAACAGTACAGTTTAGATCTATTTTTTAATTGTTTTTCGATAAAGGAATTCAATAAAAATATTGCATCTACAGTACTATAATTAGCTTTAAAACCAAACTGTGCATCAGTAACAATATCATTCGCAATAGACCATTTCTTTAATCTTTCATTTATAACAATAGTGAATAATTTAGCAAAACAACTAATAAGCGTAATACCTCTATAATTATTTACATCAGCATTATCTCCCTTTTTGAATACAGGTATAATGACACCTTTAGACCATGACTTTGGGAAACATTGTTTATCAAGAATATAATTAAACAAGATCTCTAACGGTTTATCTAAAACATCAATACCTTCTAAAAAATACTCATATGAAATATTATCTAAAGAACATGCTTTATCCCTGCCTAACAATTTAATAGCACTCCTTATTTCATCTAATGTAAACGCTTCATTTAATTCTTCAAACGATGAGTCAGCAGAAACATGAGAATCAAAATCATTTAAAAAATCTATACAATCTTCATCCTCATCAATTTTTAATTCTGAGGTCAATTCTTTAAAATGTTCATAAAAATCATTTATGTCAATAGATTCGCTACAGTCAGAATAATTATTATTTTTTGATTTAAACATTTTCCAGAATTCTTTTGTTTTTTTATTTTTCATTTCCTCCATTTTTAATGATACACTTTTTAAGTATTTTTGTTTGGTCACTTTACAGCAGTATTTATAATCTTTTTTCTTACTATACAAAAATTGTTTATTTTCATAACTTCTCTCTAACTAAAAGACAATGATTTCAATTCACATATATACGCACCATCATCCAACTTTAGTCACCATCATTTTTGTTATGAATTAATAATATGTTTCTTTTTTATCATAAATATGATACTAAAATTAAGATTTATCAATATTGTATGTTCCGAAAAGCATTATTTGTAAAGATAACACCACATTTAATATTTCATGTAAATAAAGGGAGTTTACTAGAAATTAATTCTCTATAAAGTCTAAGTCAGTCAGATTTTCCAATAAGAAAATAATGCATTAATTTTAATGATTTCATTTAATGCGCAAAAATATTTGCAGTACATATTTTACATATTCTTTGGTGTTTGAAAATTGTTTTCTAAGCATAGTTATATAAATATATCTGGTATACAACCATACTGTCACCCTCGGTTAACTTAAAGTTTGTAGGAAGTCTATAAATAAAATGGTTAAAACACCAAATATTAAAACAATAGATAAAGTACCCAATAAACAGCTCAGTTATGTCTAGGAACCTTGATAGCATTTCTTTTAATATTCAGGGTTATTCAAGTCATAAACATAGTAAAATTTAAAACTTTATTGATAATAATCCTCAAATTGATATATTATGTATCCAAGAAAACAAGTTATCTTTAAATAAAACTAAAAAGTATACATGGATACACCCCTGAGTTTAAATGTTTTACTATAGATAGACAAGATCACATAGCGGGAGGATTAGATACATATATAACAGATAATATTAACTATGAGGTGATCGCTGTAGACAATCCCAAGGATAAATCAAAGCACTGCAAGCACTGAGGTATACATTGCTTGACAATATTTGAGTATCAAGACAATGTGATTTTAATCTACTGAACTCAGTTAAAGGCATCTTCTGGTTACAGTCGATTCCGAACACAAATCTAGGCTTATTTCTTCTCAAGTTATTAATAGGACAAGAAAGAGGTTTTGTTCCTACAGACAAGTGCTATGTTTTACCAGGCAAGACTATATGGTTTGCGAAACTGAAGAGCAATACAGAAATCAGTTTGCAAAGACCTGTTTATTATCTGCAGTATACAATACTGAAATAGTAAAAAAGAGTCTTCAGTGTTTTTATCTATTACTTTAAAAACAAGACCAACATGCGGGTTTGTAGTCTATAAAATGTGATATTGAATCATTCAGCTTAAAAGTTAAGTGAACATTTTTGTTTACATGCAAAACACATTCACTGGAAAAAATGCACTCCATAGTGCAATTATTGATTCAAAATAAAAGCATTTGTACTTGACAAAATTTAGGCATCAAAGCCCTAAGCTCTAGCCTTGTACATTCTTAAATTTTTACTACAAGTACATAACGAAAATTAATGACTCCCTCTCCCAACCCTCGCACAAGGCAAATTTTATCCAAGGGCTAAAATTAAAACAATCTTGGTAGAGGTAGATTATGTTTCGTGCCAAATATCTTACCTCTAGTCTTTGTCAATTCAGAGGAGAATATTGTTTAAGTTTTTTTCTATACATGTATATATACATTTAAGAAAAACCTAAGACACCCTGGTGCCTGGTAAACCTTGTACCTTCAGACAAGATTTTTTTAAAGTTTTTACTATATACATACCATATAGGGAAAACCTAAGAAGACTCCTTGGCAGAGCCAATTTTGACCCCAGGGCTTAATTTGAACAATAGTGATAGAGGTCTACTACACAGGTAAAGGTTTCATGACAAATATCAACATCTAGCCTTGTCAATCCAGAGGAGAATATTTTTTAAGTTTTTTTCCAATACATTTAAGGAAAACCTATGACACGCTGGTGCTATTTCACTAGGGGCAACTTTTGAACAACTATGGTAAAGGACTTACTGGTGATATTATTTACCAAGTATCTAAGCTCTAAGCCTTAAACCTTCTGATAAAAAGATTTTTTAAAAAGCTTTTGCTATATAAATATAAGGAAAACTTTAATATATGACCCCAGGGATGAGGCTAATTTTGACCCTTGTGCTGTTACGTGAATAATCTTGTTAGAGGTTCACTACCAAATGTTTCATGACAAATATCTAACCTCTAGCCAATGTCAATTCAGAGGAGAAGATTTTAAGTTTTAACTACATACATATCAGGAAAATTAATGAACCCTAGTTCAGGGCTAATTTGACCCCCGGGGTATAATGTGAAAATCTTGTGAATGTCTACCAGACAATGCCTTATGCAAAATATCTATGCTCTAGGCCTTATTTAAGCCTTTCAACAACTTTGGAAGCCCTTCAATCATGGAACAACCCTGTCAAGTTTGGTTGAAATTGGACAAGATGTTTTCAAAAGATGTTTACATATTATGTATAAAACACACACACATGCACGCATGCATGCACACACACACAAAGAGGGGAATCGCTATATGCCAACGCAGCATCTACATGCATCAGACCAGCAGTCCAACACATTTTCAAAAAATAAAATGACAATTACATTGTTGATGTGTTGAATGCCTTGTAAAATTTAAAAAAAAAACTTTATAATATTTAGAATAAACTTTCATTTTTTCATTCCAAACTGTAATCAAACAATATGAGGTATGGTACATGGTATGGTCAACCAAGTGGATCTCATTGGAGCTAGGTGGGGAGGAGTGTGGGAATTCAAAGATTAGTAAATCATGTTTAAAGCATGTGGCTTTACTGAGTGCATCGGGAAGTATTTAAGCACTTAGTTGAAATTTATATGGCATAATGCACTTTATATCTGTTAATATGCTATATATCAAAATTAAATACTTAATATCTTTTTTTTTTCTATAACCTTAAAGAATTAATAAATTTCTTTTATATAATCTATGAATTCAGTTTATAGTATCTTTTTTGGTTTGACTTTTATTACAGTCTGTGCTTTTTGTGATACCATACTATTGTTTCCGGCACCTTTACTCCAAGTAAGCAAATGAAGTAATTGAAGACTAGGACCTTGAGTGTACTTCCTTTTTGAGTGGGGGATCTGAACATCACTGTCTGTCCTGTTCACCATGTCTCTATATCGGATTTGTCTTGGTACAGACCACCCTGTCTCATGGTCTGCAAGTTCCTGCATGTATGGCCAGCTGGGACTGTTTAATGTCAATGAGGAGAACTCGATCCATATAGTTTTTTGACAATCAATAAATATCTTACAATACAATAGAAAAAAATGATTCATATAGTATTTTATTTAGCCAATCCTTTCAAGCTATCATCATCATGCAAAATTAAACTTACTGGTAAGGAGTTGATTAAGGGCTTCTCCCCTAATACAAAAAAGGTTAAATTAAGAAGTAGTACTGTTACAATGCCTATCAAAAATAAAGTCACATATATAGACAATAATTAAATATTTAACAATAATAATTTCATACAAATAAATCATTAATATATGCAGTCCAGCCAATAATGAGCTGAAAATATTTATCAGTATCAAAGAGTGAGAAAACAAAATGCAGCCTGACTAAAACTCAAACCAGAGACACTCAGAATACCATACCTCAGCACTACCAAAAAACCCAGAACCCTTGGAATACCATACAGCAGCTCTACAGCTTAAACATTTTCAGTCTCATAGTTCTATGCATTGACATAATCCCCAGCACATTGAAATTTGTCCTTTTTCATTGGAACACTTAACAAAAGTGAATTGACTTATGATTCAGTTATGTACTATCATAAACATATGAATATTGGTCCCTAAAAGTAACAGGGTGAAAATATCACAAGGTGAGAAAAAAGTGCAGTTTGACCGGAATCAAACCTGAATCAGAATATTATACATGTATGTGGGCTGTACTGACTCACTCAGCTGAGCTATCTAGCTGGCAATGTCTATAATCTATTATACATGGGCATAGAAGTCAAAGAAACATTCATTAATAATAGCCCATTATTAAAAGTAAATCATATCAGAAACATCCCTTGAAAATGATATCATTTAAATTTTGACCCACAGTTATTACCACTACCTCCTAATGGGCCTAATCAAACTGAGCCTGCAGAATTTTATAATTTTGCTGTCTGTCAGACATGGCAATTTCTTATGGGTTTCATCTTTATCTCCATTTGAAGGGATGTAACTCATGTTTACTAAATAGTTTGTTCTTATGTGTCTACCTTAGTCATTACAGACTATTCTACAAATGTAGCTGTATATAAACATATACAAAATTCTTTTATATTAACAAACAGAACATAATAAGATGAAAAATTTACCAGTTGGAGAAATTCATCAAATGGATGGAGGTCCAGGAATGATGAATATGGATAGAAATATTTTTTTTTGACTGGCTTTATATTTGTACCTTCTAATGATGAATATGGATAGAAATATTTTTTTTTGACTGGCTTTATATTTGTACCTTCTAGTTATTGTGGCAAGGAATTTTATAATTATTCAGTTAAACCTGGTTTTTCAGTTAAGATTTCATCATAAAAAGATCTCCAGGACTCTAAATAAATTCATATTTGTGGTATCAGGGTAAATTAAATTACTATTTGTGCTGAATCTGATCATAAACACCAATCTAAATATTTAGAATGTACCTGTAGGTGTTGAGTGTCATATTTCACTCTTCACTTGGGTTATCCCAGGTCATCCCTTTTTTTACTAATGACTTTAATTTAACTGCCCATGCAATCATAAGCTCATATATGGCTTATAAGTTTACCTTGTATATATCAATAGTCTAAAGATTTATGGAAAAAATGTTAAGGGTGGTTCAGCCTGACTGAGTGATTTGATTGTAAATAACATATTTCAAAAT